TACTTGTACATCAGTCTCTTCACTAGACTTTAATCTTCTCCAAGACTCTATAAGTCATGCCTTATTTCCACTCAGTGCAGGAGCTCAATATGGTGATTAACTGATGAATTTTCTAGTTTCTTTTTTTCCCAAAGAAAATCCAGTTACAGAATAATTTTAGTCTTACTTAATGAATCGTATAAATGAAAAATGAGTATTGAGTAAAAATTCAAAAATTGACCATTGAGTAAAAATTCAAGTGATTTTCAATACATTTAGATTTTAAGTGCTGGCTAGTTAGAGGATGAAATACAGAGAAAATACGGGTCCTGGATGTATGGGAATCAAATGTTGGCCAGTCTGTTATTTGTCTGAATTCATATGCACAGGCTGATTAGACATCCAAGGAATTTGTGGACTAGGGAGGGGCACGAAGGCAGTGCCTCCCGGGAACCTGAGGCCATGTGCTTAGTGTATGGGAACCAGAAGTCTGGGGCTAGAGAATATGAAGACTCATGGGAAAATGAACTGAGATTAAGGGATTTCAATGCTAGGACAAACTGTTGAACTCTCTGATGTCAAGGGACTAATTTACAAGAGACTTGAAAAACAACACACACAAATTTCTCTGTCACAGCATCCTGCACCAGGCAGTTGGAGGTGTTCTGTAGAGAAATCACCAAGGAACTCAGGTGAAGTAATACATAAAATCCTTTCCCTTCCAAATAGCTCAAGGGAGAAGGAGAAATCTGAAGTCTTAGAAAACTAGCCTCTTAGGAATCTCAGTAGAAAGATAGAAAACAAGACAAGGCATTTTTTTCCCTTGTAAAATGCAGGCAGGGTACTTCTTTCTCCTCAGGGCAAAGAAAGAGAAGAAGCTTCTTTAAGACATTCAGGGAGAAGAGGGGGACTCGAATAAAAAGAAAAAATTCTACTTCAGATGCTGGACATGACCCCAACCCCCAAAAAGAGGAAGGACACGAGCTGTCTGAATGAAAGGTGACCCATTCCCCAAGAGAAGGGGGACAAACAGATACTAAAGGAAAGCCCAGAGTTAAGAAGCAAGATGCACAGATGGGAGTCTAGGAATGCCCCCTGTCCCCAAACACCTGGAGCTCTCTCTGTGTCACTGTGGTCACTTTGTTTATAACTAAAAACTCAGGTAATACCCACAAGAGGTAGCTATATGATAAAAGGGCAAGCTGCAGAAATATCCTGTGAATATATATGTCTATTACCCAGATATATACATCAATAGATGCATTTTATTTAGAACTGTAAGGATGCTTATCCATTATTACTGTGGTTACTGGACAGGGGAAGGGTGGGGGTGGAGATAAAGGCGGCTTTCACTGTTGACTCTCTTTATATCTTATTTGAATCTTTTTACATGGAGAATATAATCATTTAATTATGAAATAATTAAAAAGAAAAAGAAAGAAAAGAGAAACACCCAAGCAAATGACAAAAGAAGACACCAAAACCAAGTTCTAACACCTCCCAGTCCCCTCTTTCCTAACTGCCTCCTTCCACTACTACGCTTGCTCTGGAAAAGGGAGAAAGGCTTTCATTTAATTAAAATGTAAAATACTTTCTTTTTTATACCGCCTGGTGGCTAGAGATATTCTGCTGACTCAGCAGTGAATAATCAGCTTTGACCTAAATAATAGAATAACTCAAAGTGGCAGTGGCAGTTGCATAAGCATGATCCAAGTCTGCAGTTCCCTCTCTCCTTCCCTCTACTCTCCCCCACCCCCTCCAGGCTCTGGGCAGGCAAGCCAGTTATAGCAGGTTCTTTCTGCCTCTCCACCCCCACCATCTGGCTTGTCCCAACTTCATTTCTCATCAGAGCTCTTCCAAAACGGCCCCACCACGAACCCAGACTTGACCTCATCTCCTCCCTCCCACAGCAAACCCTCGCCAGGGCTTTGCCACACCGCTATCTCCGTGGGGCTCTGTGCCCTGTCCTCCAGCGCCCTCCAATATATGCAGTGACCTCTCCACAGAGGGTGGCCTTTCCTCAAAACCTCTCATTGCACAATGGATTGAGCCTTCATGATCATGCCAAAATGAGACAGCAGAAAGCAGAATTTCCATGTAAATACATTCATGCCCCCCACTCAAGCTCGCTACTGCTTCTCTCAAGAGTATGGCTAGGCTGGGCTGCTCCCAGCTCTACCTCCAAGGAATGCTGGGCCTATTTTATGAAGCTGGATTGCTTGGCACCTGCTAAGAGGATGCGGTGGGCTGATGGCATGCTGGAATAAAAGATATCAGCATTTAATGAAACAGAGCATCCACCACGCATTCCTGACAGCCTGGTTCCTGTTTTACTGGATACCTTAAGATCTATTAGAGGGGCCTGTAGAAGTGGGTTTTTTTTAAAAAAGTATTCAAAAACCAGAAAACAGAATCTCTGTACACAGACTCAAAGCAGCTGGGAGTGTCTGAACTAGAGCAGAGGAGAGAGGCTGCTGTGTGTGTGGTTAATGCATGTATGTGTGCATCCTGCTGGGACAGGAATAGAGGTTCCACATGACCGTCACAGCCAGAAAGAGAGAAACACTGCAGAGGGTGAGGTGTGGAGCTGGTTCCCATTCCCCCCAAGGAAATAAGGAGGAATAAGTTTGGGAATAAGAAGGATTTGAGGAGATTGTTCTGCTTGTGAAAGTAGCAGAATACTGGAACAGATATCTCAAGGACATTGAAAAATTCCTATCTTTAGAAAACAAGATTGACTACGTTAAGTTGGAGATAATTTTCTTGCAGCTCCACTTAGGAGGCAGAGGATAGGCCAGATAAGTTTTATTGAATCTTTGAAGGCAGGAGTGGGGAGTGGGGATAATCTTGTCATTTTTGTCACTAGTCAGAGTTTCTAAATTTCTCTTGGCTTGGTGCTAGCAGCATGTAAGTAGGGGTAGGCTGTGGAGGGGACTGTGTGCAGCCTGTTTTTTTAGAGCTCCCGCAGGAGCCATTCTTATCTCTTGGGAGGGTTTGGACCTTTCTAGCCTGGGGAGAGGCCCATGGGGTTACACTACTCCTGGGGGTCTCTGTGCAAGGGGTCAAGCCCTTGGCAGGTTTGGGGAATACAAAGGAAGCTGTGGGGTCCAGCTGCCCAGGGAACTCCACCCTGTGACCTGGCTCCTCTCCTAGGGGAAGGACTGGATAGCCTCAGGGTTCTCGATTTCTAGAAGGAGGGTAAGGGTGGCTCTTGTCTGGGACACTTCAGCAGTACTGGCAGCAAAAAGGAAGCTGTGTACGCAAAATGCTGAAAGAGCAGTGGCAGCACTCATGTGGCCCCCTTCTACTGATGGCAGAAACATCAACTCTTCTTGTATTCTCAGGCCCTCCTTCCTCTCCCCTCCCCCCAGCTCTGGGTCCAGCTAGGAAGCAAAGATGAAATGGCCCCGGCAGCTTCACACCCCAGCCCACCCCAGTAACTGAGTTGACTGGAGCACTAGGCACCCAGCGTGATGCAGAGGGCAACCCGCTCCTTCTCTCAGGCAGTCCTTGTGACCATGACCCCTTGAGGCAGGCAGGATAACAATCCCCATCTCAGAGTGGGGTGGGATGGGTAGCTTTGCCAAGCACTGGCTACTGTACTAAGAAAGTGCTAGGCCGGCCCGGTGGCGCGCTGGATAGTGCGCCGCTTGGGAAGCGCGGTGGCGCTCCCGCCCGAGGGTTCGGATCCCACATACAGACCGGTTCCCGCTCACTGGCTGAGCGAGGCGCGGGAGCAACACCAAGGGTTGCAATCCCGTTGCCGGTCCCCGGTCCGGTACGGGGGCAACACTGAGGGTTGCAATCCGTTGCCGGACACGGAAAAAGACAAAAAAAAAAAAAAAGTGCTAGAGTGGGGACGCAGGCTCAGGCAGCCTGGTCTGGAGCCCATGTTCCTCTGCCTCCAGATCTGTGAACAGGACTAACTGAGCCCAAGGAATATGACCCCAAATGAGTGTCTTAGTCCTACATTACAGCTTGCCTGGGTGGTGGGGGTCTATCCCACGGCGGACCACCACTTCCAGAGGGTGCAGTTGCCAAGGAAACCAAGTCTTGGTCCTGGCTGTCTGCCCTGTGAGAGGCTACGGGGTAGGTGAGTGATCCCTCCCTCCGCCACCCCAGAAGCATGACAGAAGGAAAGTGTCAGGACTTGGGAAAGGGTATGGCCAGGATGATCACTACCCTCAGCTAAGTTCATGTGTGTTGGAAGGTGTGGGAAGGCGGGAACCGAGCTAACTCTAGAAGTGGAGCCTCTGAAACATATAAAAGTATTTACTTTAGATATTAGTTTTTCATTAAAGATGTAAAGTGCCCCAATCCATTGGGATCACTGATATAAGAAATCAAGAGTTGAGATTTCCTAGAAACATGGCACTGCAGAATGTCTCTAGAAAGTCTCTCTAAGCTGTTCCAGTTCACAGAGATATTTTCCCCTTTTCTGAATTTTCATTGCAATTGAATCCTAACCACAGGATCTATTTGGCTTTTCCCCCAGTTAGAAAACTCATCAAGGGCAGGGACCATGGACAAACTCTCCTCCAAGAGAGTTTAAAAAGTGTGAGTTGGCAAGTTGAGGTACAAGCAGATATGGACTTGCTGCCGTGAGGCCAGAATAATCTTCCTAGCAGCTGGAAAAGCCAGCATGGGGCCTGCCTCCTTGGGTAAGTCACTTGCCTGGCTCTCTGTTACCTTATCTGTTCCAGGAAAATGGTACAACTGACCCAGCTTAACTCATAGATTTGCCATGAAGCTCAAATCAGATAATGTAGGTGAAAGTGCTTCGTGTAATGTAAAGAACCCTGCCAGTGAAATCTACTGTGTTCTGAGGAGCTACTTAAGTTTCTTCTTTTTTTAATGCCAGATAATTGTATGCAGAATCCATTCATCCAAAACACATTTGTAGGAAATTGAAAGAAAAGTAATGAAGAAAAAAATGAGTGAAGGAAGAAGAACCAGAGACATGGAGACACCAGGGAGGCCAAATGAGGTTGTCCTGAGAGCAAAGCCTGGAAGACACTTACATAAGCAGATGGCAGCCAGGAGCCGGAGGCCAGACTCTGGGGGGAAGCAGGTTGGAAAGAGTGGCTGCAGCACGTAGTTGGAGAAGGTGAGGGCGATGACAGCCTGGTTGGTGGGGTAGATCACCAGCAAAGCAATCCACAGCCTCAGGAACCTGAGGAGGAAGAGGACAACCCCGCCGCCAGGCATGGCATGGCAGGGATTCAGAGTCACCAGGGGAAAGCCCAGGCAAGACAGTGGGCAGCCATTAGCAGAGGAGATGGGTTAAAGGGGTGTGTCTCACTTTTTGTTTTCAGGGATGCTGCAGAACCCAGCACCCACCGCACCCCCAAATGAGCCATCCAGCCTCTGCAATGACAATAAACTGCTTTAATGATGAAGAGCTAAGTTTCAACTAGCACTAACACAAGTCTTGGCGTTCTTCTCTCACCCCTGTCCTTTTATCATCTCTTCTCTACAATCTGGCCCCCAGCATCTAAGGGTGGAAAAATAAAACTTGCAACCCTAGAATTTTGATAGTCAGGACATGTAAAGGGTGTGGCTACTCAAGCCACTGCCAGGGGAGGCATCAAGTGGGGGTTTGCTGGGGAGGGGCCGTCCACGCCCTTTGGCCCATCAGTGAGGGTTGAGCTCTTCCATAGCAGGGTTGCAGAAGCTGAGGAAATTCAAGATGGGGCCTGACTCTAGAGGAAGGCCATTATTCTTGTAATGTGAGAAGAGGGTGCACTGTATCTTAGGTGGTCACTCTCATTTGTCAAGAGACAAATAAAAGGGCCTTGTTTCTGTGATGTGCTTTCCCCGGGTCAGTGTTGTCATGTAGTTCTGTTTGCTCTCACTCACAGAATCTTGCCCACTAAGATCAACAGAAGATTAAAACTACAAACCTGGTTCTTCCACCACTCTCAGGAGCATCAAGGGGACACAAGGCTATTCTAGCAACTATGACACACAGGCAAAAGAGAAATCCCTCTCTCTAGCTCTCCTCAGCACCCTGGAGATTAGAAAGCCTCAGCTTCCTCTGATCTGATCTCTTTCTGTGCCATTTTTCTCTTCTTCCTCTGGCCACTTATGTCTCCACAGATCCTCTTACCCAGCCAATCCTCCGAAGATATCCTTGACATAGGAGTAGTCACCTCCAGATTTGGGGATGGTGACCCCAAGCTCAGCATAGCAGAGGGCTCCCACAGCTGTGATGATACCCGTCACGATCCAGACGATGAGAGCAAGGCCCACAGAGCCGGCGTTCTCCAGCACCCCCTTCGGCGAGACAAAGATTCCGGAGCCAATGATATTCCCTGCACGAGACACCAAGAATAAGTAAGGAGGGGAGATAGGAATGTTGGGACAATTGGCAGGACTGGCATTTGCAGGGTGGTCTCATCTCTGATCTGATTTGAAAATGCCTTCGAGATGCGTAAATGATCTTCAGGCAGGTGTTTCTAGCAATAATTCTCCCTGGAGTAGGGTGAAGAGGAAGACACGTGTTGACCAGGAACTCAGTCACGTACTTCACATGTCTCACTTAGTCATCAGGATGACCCTACGGATTCAGATATTATTTCTCATGCTTTACAAAGGAGGAAACTGATTCTCGGAGATATCAAGAGAGTTGCCTAAGTCCACACGGTACTAAGTCTCACGATTCTCTAACTGGGCTACACATGGTCCACCCAAGGTCTCAGAGACCATCTACCACCTAGAAAGCTTCAGAAATGAGCTGAAAGGCAATATCTTTTGGACAGACTGTGGTCATACTCCATAACTGGGGGTTTTCAAGACCTGTGAGAATGGACAGCACTGGTAGAGGCTGGCTTGTACCCCAGACGCGACAGCCCCACCCTTGGTGAAGAACATGAAATAGCCCTATGAAAATAGTCCTGGTAGTATGGAAGTGGTCTGTAGGAGTGCAATATGTGCAAAGCCTCAGCACCACATTCTTACAAAGATCATTCCCCACCAGTGTTGCATGTGGCCCTCAGAACAACCTTATGGAATTCAGGAAGAGGAGGAAGAGCAGGTATTTCTCTCCCTATTTTACAAACCAAGAGATTAAGACACAGAGGGGTTAAGTGGCTTTCTCCAAATTCCACAGCTACTCATGGGTAAAATTGGATCTAGAAGTCAGACTCCTGATGCTTAATCCAGTGCTCTTTCTGCTAATCCACATCTGCTTCGGTATGCAAGGGGCTGGCTTTCTCTTGAGAGGCCAGTAGCAAGTACTGAATGGCTAGCTACTCGGTTGTGTGTTTTGGGCTGGGGAGGAGGAGGAGTGTGGGGGCAGTCCCTGATATGCTTCTTCCCAAGTTTTCCTTTATCCATGTCTTGTGATTAATGATAGTAATCAGGGCCCATTGGACAGATACTTTGAAAGCTCTTTCTTCACACCCAGCCCAGCTGCACCACTAAATGCCTGAGGACAAAAGCAGAGACTAAATGGATCCAGGTGAAAATGCAGAGCTGGAGTATTATGAGGCCAGTTAGACTCAACAGTTTTCTGAAGACATCCCAAATTCCTACCATCTCTCCTTGGTGGTTCGGAACCAGTGAGATGGATAGTGTAAGGTTCTATGTTCAACTTTCAAAGACTGACTTTCAGATTTCAGCCATAACCCACTTCTGAAACTTTCACTTCTAAACCAAAATTCAATTTTTAATCCAGGGCCATGCATACAGCTCTTGCAGTTAAAGGGGAGGAGAAGGGAACATTCACGTCCTAAAAGCAATAATGTTTTATTCCTCCGGGATGCAGAATATGCTGCCACTTTCCAAAGGAAAAAATATTGTGAGATGAGTATGAGAGGGAGAAAGGATCCAGGAGGGCATAAAAGCAACAACCAGTGAGACCGAAATAACAGGGCCAGAGGCACGGGGCCAGAGCTAGATACAGATAAAAAGGAAGCACATTTCTGTCTCAAACACGTCTTCTTTCTTTTTGTGCTAACAGTCTATCCCAACAGGACAGGGTTGCACATAGAAATAAAAATAAAAGAAGAAACAATCCCTCATCATCAAATTTAAAGTCAGGCAAAGAGAAGATCGAAAAAGGAGATTTTAGTGCCGTCAGTTCTTAAAGACTTTTCCTTTTCTTGTATGTTAATGTAAAGTCCTATGATAGGAACAAGAGGACATCTTTCAGCCCTCATCTCTCTTCATCCCCTTCCCATGTGTGCATTGCATGAAATGTTGGGTTGGTGGAGACTAAAAGACCAGTTATTAGTATCCCGGGGCTCAGGACACGTTTTTCCTGTCAAATGACTCTTACCTGACATAACTAAATGTGCTGTTATTCTGTGGAAGGCACCAAGAGCTGGGGAATGAGAGAACTAGAGACAGGGTTACTAATGTTGCTGGAAAATGATAGTAAATTCCTTGCCTAGCAAGAAGTTATCAAAAGAGTGATCTATAGGGCATTTCAAAGCCAGCCAAGAGGAGAGCAATAGAACTAGGGTTATAAAACCAGCTCAAGGGTTTAGGAAAACAATCAATACATGGAGAAAAACAAGGTTTGACTTTGGTCTTTAAGGTACTGAAAAAGGACAGAGAACAGCTAGGCATTTCTCAGAGCCAGGAATGGCTGTTGCAAGAAGGAATGGGTGAGTGGGTGGGTGTTATTTAAAAGATCTGATATTCTCAGGAATGAAAAATGTTAATGTTCCACTAAGGGTTCTTGGAAAACAAACACCGCAACAGGAATCAGTAAATCAGGATTAGTAAGCCCTTCTCTTCTGCTTTTGCTCTGACATTTCCAGAGCATGTGTGCTCTCTCCCTTTTCTAGGTTGCAGGAGCCACTTGAAGATGGGATATGTAACACCAACTGCCCTTTGAAGCGTCTGACCACTTCCTACATCCACTTATTCTTGGAGGCTTTGTGACCTTCCAAGGAGCTGCCAGCGTGATTGTGAGGGTCATAGGAGATTGGCACTGGGACAAGAGTTCTCACTTTATAAAAATTGGGTTCTCCCCCCCAAAAAATCTTAATTTTGACCAAATTAAAATTACAGAGATCCTTGCCTAAAGTGAGCACTAGGGAATGGGAAGGACAGGAGTGCCTTTCTCTGATTCTAGGAAGCCACTACCTGGAAAACCAGAATCTGAGAACATTTCCTCCACCTTAGCAGCTCTGGGACTTCTGCAGCGGGAGGAATGTCACTTATAGCAGAGCAATGTTCTGGAGCTGAAAGAAAATTTATGTTACATTTACTCAAAAGTAATGCCTACTATATACAACCTTTAGTGTGATTATTTGATTAATATTTATCTCCCCCACTAGACTGTAAGCTTAATGAGAACAGGAACTGTGTCACTTTCCCTCCTCCATGAAATGTCACCTAGGAGACACTTGATAATGTTTGCTGAGAGCAATTTAATATACTATACCTATTTTTTTGGAACCTCCAAATCTAGTAAGGATCTTAAGTGTATATTTTAGGCAAATGAATAAAGCAACCCACTTATTTCACAGCTGAGGAAAGTAGATTGGCTATTATTACCATCTCCAATTTATAGGGATAGAAAGTAGGTCAACTATTAGTCCCATTTTCCAAGTGAGGAAAATGAGGGAGGTATTATTATTCCTATTTTATGGATGAAGAAACTGAGACCCGGAGAGGTAGTTATTTGCCTAAATCGCAGGGTAAGTTAGTAGTGACTGGATTGGAACCTAAATCTTCTGTCACAGCTTCAAGCTTTTCCCTGAAAATAATAGACCTTCCCACATACAACAGGGTCAGTCTTATATGCCCCACTCCATAGGCAATGGGAATGGTTCACAGAAGGCACTTATTGAAGAATTGCAACACAGATCTGACTCCTTCCTTCTACTGCAATACCACCTTCCATGGTGATTTATAAAACATTCACATCCATTACCTTAATTCTTATAACTACTTTCTTAGGTACTATCATTCCTATTTTACCTTCGTGGAAACTGAGGCTCAGAGAGGTGAAGAGACTTGATCTAAGTCACACACTACATAAGTAGCGAGACCTGAGTGAGAGCCAAGTCCTTGGGCTCTCAGCCCAGGTTTCCTCCATGACTCCATGCCGCTTCTCCTCTAGAAATTGCACAACAGGCACTTTACCTGCAGGGCTTTTAAACTTGGACACTGCCCAAATGAGACCTTCCTCAAGTGGCTCTGAAAAAGGAGAATTGGGAAAGGGCTTTTCTACCTTGATTATGAACCTTTCTTGCTGAGATGTAGGAAGAAAGTTGATTACTTTGGGGATTTTTTTCTCCATTGCTTAACCCTTAGCCTTATTGTCTATGAAGCCATTTAATAATGACAGGCACACCCGTCTGGTATTGCTGAGGTACTCGAGGTAAGGGTTTTAATCTTGCTTCCATTCACCCTAATTAATAAAATAATCACCTTATCATATAGATCTTCTTTAGCGAAAAATAGATTCTAGGATGCCTGGACAATGAAGCCCAACTTGGCTTGTTCTGTCAAAGAAAAGCCAAGCAAACTATTCCATGAAAAAGAGGCCAAGCTGTATCAGTGGGCAAGTCTTCACTAGAAAAATGGCTGGAACTGACAAAATCTACATTTGCCATGAATAATCACTAACTGCCCTACCTGTAGGCCAATACCCATGTGACTCCCATTAAGGCATTAACTCATATCCAGGCCTGTCCACACTAGAATGTTGTAGCCATCAAAGAATTTCCTTGGGTGTGGAGTAATGATGCCCAATAGACCCTCAGATCAAAAAGCTTTTGGCTTTCTTCGCTTACTCATGCTAGTCTTGAAGTCTGTTCAACTTCCTCTTGGGGCTTGGAGGTTCTGGCCATTTTTATGATGTCCGGAGAAAGCTAAGGTGAACCTGCTTTGTGCTTCTTTCATAAAGTGGCTGGGAGGATCTCGGAGCCTTTCAGGACTGGGGAACAGCATGGGAGCAGGGTATGGCATGCTGTGGCCAGGCTTTCTTCTCACACCAGGCCAGAAGCTCATCATGCCTCTTACACTGGATGCACTTTCCCATCAGGACTGTACTAGCAGCTACCTCAGGGTTGGGGGCAGCTCAAGACTCTGACACATGCCCTGCGGAGTTGGAGTTGCTGTCTACTGCAGGACTGAGATGCGGAAGGCACTGCAGGACCAGCTGTTCTGGATTCCTTACTGAAAACATGAAAAGGCACTAGACGTAGAGTTGGAGAGCCCCTGAGTCCTTGCTTTGCCACTCACAAGCTGCGTGACCGGAATTTTTCTGAGAATCACTTCCTTCATCTGCAGAATGGGAATAATTGTTCCTGCCCTGCCTACCTTACAGGGTTGTTGTGGGGATAAAGGGAGA